TATTACAGTATATTACAAGGCTGAAGTCCGATACCAATATGCTTCAGAAAAAAAACATTACAAGGAAAAGGTAATAATATTGCACTAATGAAGTCATACTATGAAGTCGTATTTTTCCAAGAATAAAAAGTTATAAAAAAAAAGTTATAATATTTCAAGGAAAAGCCACAACATAACAAGAAGTCCAGTTAAAATATTGTTAGAATAAAACGTCTTATTTTTTTTTAGCACAAAAAGGTAAAATTATATCACATTCTAATATTACAAGAAAAAAAAGTCATATCATAAGAATGTTTTTCTTTTTTTTTTTTAAACTAAAGTCATGACAAGAATAATTTCATACTGTTCGGGGAAAATCAAAGACAAAATTATATATGTATAATATATGTTTTTCTATATGAATCCAATTTGCTTTGTAAGTTTGTGAGTAAAATCTGAGGGCAGGGCATATAACAGTGGCGTGTCTTTCCAGCTTTATAAACTGCATCCCAAAGTCTTATGCCAAGCACATATCAGAAGACAAAGTCCTGACAAAGATGAGGCTCCGGTGGATGTTTGAACGATCCATGCGCACCTACCAGAATAATATGGAAGCAAAGAAGCCGGACGTGAAGGAAATTATCTGCAAGTATATCTATGCTCTCGAGTGCTTGGCGCCGCGTTTCGGCTCCGAGACCTTCGCTGTGCGCCACCTGAGGCTGGGCGGGGATGACGAACACACGAGTCCGGATGCTTCGAGGGACGGCGGGGCGGAAACCGTGCATGAGCTGATGGTATCTGCTAACACGGGGCTTCAGTGGAGGGAAATGATGGCCTCTGAGGTTTGTCATATTGTTGGAGGAAATGTTGATACTTCCTGCTTTTTCCTGACAACTCCACTTTTGCTCGTGTTGCTTCGTCACGTAGGCCAAGAGCAACCAGTGGACCCCCTTCTGTGACTTCCCAGGAATCATTCACATAGCCATCAGTGAAGCTAATGTTTGCATTAGCACGCAGGACAATAAGTGTATGGTGAGAGCGCTGCTTATTATTCATCGTTGGGGATGTATCAAAATCGGATTCAGAGTTATCTTGATTGGCCAAGTATGTTAAAAACATACTAGAAATTTGTCTTTGAAAGTAGAGCTACTTGAGTACTGAAAAATGAAGGCCACGCTAACTCAAAGATGCTTTCAAAAAAATAAATCAATTGTGTTTAGGAGATAACAAAGCAGCATTTCTTTTTCGCGGGTGGGATCAGGGTAATATTTTATAAGTTCATAAGTGTGATATTCAGGTCTCAGGATTTGATTCAGTTTAGTTACATTGTGATTATGGCTGCACCTAACGATGATTTCAATCATCAATTAATCTCTCCATTATTTTGTCAATGAATGAATCGGATAAATTCATTTCTAATTATATAATCATAATTAATTGACTCATGTTACTAATGGGTGGGCATCAAGGGTATTCCCATGACAGCATGCTCCAGGATCTCAGCTATCAAGTGTGCAAAGTATAGTTGAATCTAAATTGCTGAGATTTTACACTAAAGCCCGCTGCACGCCGAGCAACACGACCGATTGTGACTGAATCGATCAACCCCCAAAAACTACAGTCGGCAACTCACGGCCACACACCAGACGATTGACCCTGGCGCAGATTGCAACGGAAACATCAGGAAACATTTTGCGGTGCCACACAACTTTTGGCAGTAGTGGGGAATTCCCCTCCACCACCCTTCCTTTATGCTGAGTTTCCACTAGTTCGCCCATGCCTTTATTAATAATTTTTATAAGTCATTTAGACTCCATGAGGTCGCTGTGCGCTTCTGGCGTTTTTTTTTTTTTTTTTTTTTGTGTGTCTTTACAATGTGAGTGCATCTGTAGGTGGCAGCTGTGCTACTAAGCGCCACTCGTTGTCTTTGTGAATGTGCATGTAGGAGGTTGAGATGAGCTCCAGCCAGGAGGCTCGCTCCTTCATCTCCCTGCTCGATGGATACTACCGGCTGACTGTGGACGCCCACCACTATCTTTGTCATGAGGTGGCGCCCCCGAGGGTGCTGCTGAGTCAAGCTAATGGACTGCACGGACCAATCCAGTGAGTTTTTTTTTTTTTTTTTTTTCCCCCTCTGTGGTACTCTGTAAGCACCACAAACAACTGTGGTGTTTTTCCAGTGATGACTTTGTGCTGCACAAGCTGAAAAAGGAGGAAGCTGAAGAAGAAGCTTGCCTCGTGCGTTGGAGTGTTCTCAACTATCACAGACTTGTTTTGGCTGTGCCAAATAAAAACCAGGTGAGTCGCCGCTCTCCTTAAGTCGGAGTCATTGCATCTCAGGCGAGGTGAGCGTTATTTTTTTTTTTAAAAAGAATTATCGATGGCCAGCAGAACGGATCGATGGCGAGCCACAAGCTATTTTGCATCCAGCATAAAGATTCCGTCTTCACCTTGGATGGCTGGCAGGAGAAATTCTCCAGTGTGAAGGAGCTCACAAACACCCTGAAGGACTACATTCTCAAGTCTGGCACAGACAGCTATACTATTAAAAAATGCTGTCGGCCCCGGCAAGGAGGTTTGTGTTTATTTCAGTGAATCTTCACTTGTATTCATGTTGCGCAGTTTTTTTTCAGGCAATAGCATTTCATGATAATGCACAAGGAGATGAACACTGACATAGCTGATTTCATACTGTTCTTAAGGAAGTGTTTCAAAAAAACATATGGAAAAATGCCTGAATAGGAGCCAGAAGAAGAAAATCTTGCTGAATATATTTGTATTGTCAGCAAAGAGCATTTAATCTTAATGAATGCAATACATTGAAAGATATCATTAATGCACACATTAAATAGTTGTGGCCCCAATGTTGACCCCTGGGGAACACCACAAGCAATGCCAAGTTTTTCCGACGAATGCTGACCCATTTTTGTGTACCGCACCCTTCCTGTGAATAACCTTTTAACCAGTCGCTACCGACAAAGTCAGCTCTGAATTTAGAAACTTAAAAAAAACCACTAGTCTATCTAGCCAGTACAAAAAGAGAAATGAATTATTATTATTATTATTATTATTACTTTTTTTTTTAAATGGCCAATGGCCCTCTATCCCGTTTGAACATATTCGCTTCTGCACAGCATCAGAATCACTTTAGCTTCACATTCAGAACCAAAACAAGAGCATTTTGCACAAAGTTGACCTTGACACGGAGCAGAAAGTGCAGCAAACAATTGCACTACTGTAACTTGACAGATGACGTTGTCAGTTAGGACTTTTAATGAGCACTAAAAAGTGAAGGCCAAATGTCTGACCGTGTAGTTTGTGTTGTGCCACTGACCACGTTTTTGTCTTTGTCTTCCACAGAGCTTTCCAACCTCCTCGTGAAGAGGCGCGGCATAGATGGCAGTGCCAGCACGCGGACTCTATCTCCGAACAAATTGGAGCTATGCTTCCAGATCAAGTACAAAGACCTCATTCTGGTGAGAAGCGCGTTCCTTGCGCCTTCGAAGCTTTGCAAGTTTCGTTTGACTTGGCTGAGGCAGCGGGGTATTGTGTTTACGGACAGGGGCAGCATTTGGGTTTTGGCACCAGAACTCACATCTACTCAGCGCATCTGCAAGTCGGGCAAGTAGTCGCTGAGCAGGAGGACGACTTGAACGGCGATAAGTACAAGAAGATCCAAGTGGTGCTCAAGGTTCTCGAGCAAAGCCATGAAGATATCACATCCGTAAGCGCCCGTCACACTGCGAGCGATCCGGCAAAGCCTCGTCTATCGATTCGAAATCAATATTTTCTTTGGTTTGCTTTAGGCTTTTTTTGAGATGGCGAGTCTGATGAGCCAGGTGTCTCACAATCACCTGGTTTTCGTCCATGGTTTGTCTGTCAACGGATCTGAAAGTGAGAGCACCACATCACAGAGTCTTCTACTTCCATTTTTGCTCCTTCCTTTTTTTTTTTTTAAAGCATTCAGCACTCGTGGTGAAGGGCAAGTTACCGATTACATACTAAAATAGGAAACACACAAACAACATTTCACAAAACCTCATCAACCAGATCTCTTGGGCGTGACACTTAATCCCTTTACACCACAGTTGTCAAAGTCAAGGCCCGGGGGCCAGATCTGGCCCGCCACGCCATTTTATGTGGCCCGCGAAAGCGAAGCAAGCATGTCAAATTCCATGATGCTTGCTAAAGTCTGAACCAAAACTTCAAATTGTCATTATGTCATCCACAATAACAGTCATTATTCTTGACTTCTGATTGTAAAACTAGTTCTTGATCAACTTGTTGTGCGCTGTGTATTAGGGTGGTCCACATTTTCATGGCAAAAAAAAAAGTTTGTCGGATTCGTCGGGCCGGGTCGGAATTCTTGTCGATACTATGGTACAAGGTTCTGTGCAAAATTTCATTCCGATCTGATGATATTTTCCCGTCCCGCAAAGCGGCCAAAGTTTCCACCATAACAACTGGTCTCAATAGGGTGAACATGTGTATTTTAACCGTGTATTTTGCCATG